CCTTAGTTCTGTCTAGTCCCACGAATTCAGCTAGATAGCTATCAAATCATTCTGAACACCGTTGAACTAAACTGGAGACCTAAGAAAAGAATTGCTGTAATTCTCCAAACAGAAAAGCAACGACTTTCTGCAAGAATGACAAGATTGAAAAACTCACCTCAAAAAAGAGAAGAAGAGGCAGTACTGACTGCCAGGGACCTAAATATTAAATAAGATGTCAGAACTAGAATTCAGAAAAACAATTATAAAGATAATATATGGGCATGAAAAAAGCATAGAAGGCACTACAGAATCCCATTCTGGAGAAATAAAAGAACTAAAATTCAACAAAGTCAAAATCAAAAAGCTAATAATGAGATGCAATAAAAAATGGAGGTTCTAACTGCTAGGATAAATTAGGCAGAAGAGAGAATTAGTGATATAGAAGACCAAATGATGGAGAATAAAGAAGCTGAGAAAAAGAGAAACAACTACTAGATCACAAAGGGAGAATTTAAGAGATAAGTGATTCCATAAAGCAAAATAATATTAGAATAATTGGGATCCCAGAAGAGGAAAGAGAGAAAGGGGGAGGGCCAGAGGGTATACTGGAGTGAATTATAGCAGAGAACTTCCCTAATTTGGGGAAAAAAACAGGCATTCAAGTCCAGGAGGCACAGAGAATCCCCCCCCCATCAAAATCAACAAAAATAGGTCAACACCCCCACATATAAACTTGCAAATCTCAGAGACAAAGAGAAAATCCTGACAGCAGCTCAGAACAAGAGGTACGTAACCTATATGGGTAAAAACATTAGACTGGCAAAAGACCTAGCCACAGAGACTTGGCAGGCCAGAAAGGACTGACAAGATATATTTAGGGTGCTAAATGAGAAAAATGTGCAGCCAAGAATACTTTATCCAGCCAGGCTGTCATTCAAAATACAAAGAGAGATAAAAAGCTTCCAGGACAAACACAAACTAAAAGAATTTGTGACCACTAAACCAATCCTGCAAGAAATATTAAAATCCTTTAAGCGAAGATAGAGCCCAAAAGTAACACAAACCAGAAAAGAACAGAGACAATATACAGACTTTATAGGTTAATACAATGGCACTAGATTCATATCTTTCAACAGTTACTCTGAATGTCAATGGGCTAAATGCCCCAATCAGAAGACAAAGGGTATCAGATTGGATTAAAAAAAAAAAAAGCAAGACCCATCGATATGCTCTCTGCAAGAGACTCATTTTAGACCCAAAGACACCTCCAGCTTGAAAAGGGGGCTGGAAAACGATGTATCATGCTAACGGACATCAAAAGAAAGCTGAGGTAGCAATCCTTATATCAGACAAATTAGATTTTAAACCAAAGACTGTAGTAAGAGATGAGAAAGGATACTATATCACAATTAAAGGGTCTATCCAACAAGAAGATCTAACAATTGTAAATATTTATGCCCCTAACATGGGAGCAGCCAATTATATAAACCAAACAAAATTAAAGAAACACAGTGATAATAATACAATAGTGGGGGACTGTAACACCCCACTCACTGCAATGGACAGATCATCTAAGCAGAAGACCAACAAGGAAACAAGGGCTTTGAACCATTGGACCAGATGGACTTCACAGATATATTCAGAACGTTCCATCCTAAAGAAACAGAATACACATTCTTCTTGAGTGCACATGGAACATTACCCAAAATAGATCACAAACTGGGTCACAAATCCAGTCTCAAACAGTACCAAAAGACTGAGATCATTCCCTGCATATTTTCAGACAACAGTGCTTTGAAACTGGAACTCAATCCCAAGAGGAAAGTTGGAAAGAACTCAAATACATGGAGGTTAAAGAACATCCAACTAAAGAATGAATGGGTCAACCAGGAAATTAAAGAAGAATTTAAAAAATTCATGGAAACAAATGAAAATGAAAACACAACAGTTCAAAACCTTTGGGATGCAGAAAAGACAGCCCTAAGAGGGAAGTATATAGCAATACAAGCCTTTCTCAAGAAACAAGAAAGGTCTCAAATACACAACCTAACCCTACACCTAAAGGAGCTGGAGAAAGAACAGCAAATAAAGCCTAAACCCAGCAGGAAGAGAATTAATAAAGATTAGAGCAGAAATCAATGAAATAGAAACCAAAAGAACAGAACAGAACAACGAAACTAGGAGCTGATTCTTTGAACGAATTAGTAAGATTGATAAACCCCTGGCCAGACTTATCAAAAAGAAAAGAGAAAGGACCCAAATAAATAAAATCATGAAAGAGATCACCACCAACATCAAAGAAATACAAACAATTATAAGAACATATTATGAGCAACTATATGCCAACAACTTAGGTAACCTGGAAGAAATGGATGCATTCCTAGAGATGTATAAACTACCAAAACTGAACCAGGAAGAAATAGAAAACCTGCACAAACCCATAATCAGCAAGGAAACTGAAGCAGTAATCAAAAATCTCTCAACAGACAAGAGTCCAGGACCAGACGGCTTCCCAGGGTAATTCTACCAAACATTTAAGAAGAATTAATACCTATTCTTCTGAAGCTGTTTCAAAAAATAGAAATGGAAGGAAAACTTCCAAACTCGTTCTATGAGGCCAGCATTACCCTGATCCCAAAACCAAAGACACCAGCAAAAAGGAGAATTACAGATCAATATCCCTGATGAACATGGATGCCAAAATACTCAACAAGATCCTAGCCAATAGGATCCAACAGTACATTAAAAGGATTATTCACCACAACCAGGTGGGATTTATTCCTGGGATGCAAGGGTGGTTCAACATTTGCAAATCAATCAACATGATAGAGCACATTAATAAAAGAAAAGAACCATATGATCCACTCAATTGATGCAGAAGGAGCTTTTGACAAAGTACAGCATCCTTTCTTGATTAAAACTCTTCATAGGGTAGGGATAGAGGGAACACACCTCAATGTCATAAAAGCCATATATGAAAAGCCCACAGCAAATATCATTCTCAGGTCAGGAACATGACAGGGATGTCCACTGTCACCACTATTGGTCAACATAGTACTAGAAGTCCTAGTCTCAGCAATCAGACAACAAAAAGAAATAAAAGGCATTTGAATCAGCAAAGAAGTCAAACTTTCACTCTTCACAGATGACATAATACTCTATGTGGAAAACCCAAGAGACTCTACCCAAAATTGCTAGAACTCATACAGGAATTCAGTAAAGTGACAGAATATAAAATTAGTGCACAGAAATTAGCTGCATTTCTATACACCAACAATGAGACAGAAGGAGGAGAAATTAAGGAGTTGATCCCATTTACAATTGCACCCAAAATCGTAAGATACCTAGAAATAAATCTAACCAAAGAGGCAAAGGTTCTATACACAGAAAACTATGAAACACTCAGGAAAGAAATTAAGGAAAACACAAAGAAATGGCAAAAACATTCCATGCTCATGGATTGGAATTGTTAAATGTCTATGCTATATATTCAATGCAATCCCTATCAAAATACCATCAACTTTTTTTCCCAGAGCTGGAACAAATAATCCTAAAATTCATATGGAGCCAGAAAAGACCCTGAATAGCCAAAGGAATGTTGAAAAAGAAAACCAAAGCTGATGGCATCACAATGCCAGGCTTCAAGCTCTATTACAAAGCTGTAATCATCAAGACAGTATGGTACTGGCACAAAAACAGACACAAAGATCAATGGAACAGCAGAGAGAACCCAGAAATGGACTCTCAACTCTACAGTCAACTAATCTTTGACAAAGCAGACAAGAATATCCAATGGAAAAAAGACTCTTCAACAAATGGTGTTGGGAAAATTGGACAGCCACATGCAGAAGAATGAAACTGGACCATTTCCTTTCATCATACACAAAAACAGACTCAAAATGGATGAAAGACCTCAATGTGAGACAGGAATTCATCAAAATCCTAGAGAAGAATGCAGACAGCAACCTCTTTGACCTCGGCCACAGCAACTTCTTGCTAGACACGTCTCCAAAGGCAAAGGAAACAAAGGCAAAAATGAACTATTGGGACTTCATCAAGATAAAAAAAACTTTTGCACAGCAAAGGAAACAGTTGATAAAATCAAAAGACAACCTACGGAATGGGAGAAGATATCTGCAAATGTATTATCAGATAAAGCGATAATATCCCAATTCTATAAAGAACTTACTTATCAAACTCAAGACCCAAAGAACAAATAATCCAATCAAGAAATGGGCAGAAGACACAAACAGACATTTCTCCAAAGAAGACATCCAACTGGCCAACAGACACATGAAAACAGGACCTCTTTATATTTGTAAAAATTATTGGCATCCCAAAGAACAGTATGGATCTTTGTTTGTGTGGATTATGTCCACCGACATTCTTAGTGATAGAAATAAAAACCAAAATTAAAAAAAATGTTTAAGTGCATATTAGTTGATTAAAAATAATACATCCATTACATATCAACATATTTTATAAAAAAAATGGTTTTCCAAAACAAAAATAATTTAATGAGAGAAATGACATTGTTTTCCATTTTGAAAAATCTCTTCAATGTCAGATTTAAAAGAAGGCAGCTGGATTCTCATATCTGCTTCTGCATTCAATCTGTTTCCATATTGTGATGTCATATGACCTCTGGAAAACTCCTCTCTACAACTGTAAAAGAATGAGTGAGAAAGGCAATTATCATAAAAATAGGTATGACCTCGGAGACCCCTAAAAGGGTCCCAGGGAACCCCCATTCACACTTTGAGAAACCTTGTCTTGGATGCTAATAAACCTGATTAACAAAATTAAAAATACCATTTTCACCAGACACTGTTTAGAACTACATCAATACGGACAAAGACTCCTCAACCTTAGCACCCTTGACATTCTAGGTCTGATCATTCTTGTTGAAGGCACATCCTGTGCATGGTTAGCAACATCTCTGGCCTCTACCCACTAGATACCCATAGCAGCCCTACTCAGGTCTAACAATCAAAAATGTTTCCACACATTACCAAATGTTCCCTGGGGATTGAGATCCACCACTATGCCTCTAGAGAAATATTTCTACTGTTATGCCTCAGAGCTCAATATTTATTAACAATGGCTTGGTCTTCATAGACAGAGGACACAAAACTGGAGAGACAGTGAACAATTTCCTGAGCAAGAAGTGTGCCCAAGTAGCTTTCAGCAGGTTGGAAACAAACAGAGCAGGGTTCAAAAGAAAAAAACTATCAGGGCCATACTTGAACCCATGTAAAAACAGCCACACAAGTACAGTATGAGAACATATGCCTCAACCACAGCTGTGAGTAGTCAGTGTGAACAGTACGGCCAGGGTGAGGCCACCGTATGTTATGACTGGCAAGCCAAGGACATCTCCAACAGAATTAGTAGACAGAGAGTTCACCTAGAACAAGGAAGATGCTAATCCCAACTACATTCCTTATTGACTGGACCACACTAGAGCAATTCAATGCAATTCTGACAGTATCTACCCAGAGGTGGCATCAGATCCCACAGGTTAAGGGCTCAGTCCCAAGAGACTGCCTCCGCCACCCCCTGCTTCAGAAGCCAATTTTAAGACCAGGTGTTTACCTGGGTTTCTGACCGGCTATAAATCAGAGGTTCACATGATCCACGCCTGGGTTCAATTAATTTGCTAGAGCAGTTCACAGAACTCAGGAAACCTGTTTACTCACTAGATTACTGATTTATTACAACAGATACTCTAAAGGATATAAATCAACAGCCAGATGAAGAGATACATAGGGTAAGGTGCCAAACGAAGAAGTCTGTTCTCATGGAGTCTGGGATTCGCCACCATGACATGTGGGAAGCTTTCTGGCTCCCGAACTGGAAGCTCTCCAAAACCCTGTGCTTTCGGATTCATTATGAAGGCTTCATGACATAGGCATCATTGATTAAATCACTAGCCACTAGTGACTGATTCAACCTCCAGCCTCTCTCTTCAATCCCCAAATCAGGGGGTAGGGCTGAAAATTTCAATACTCTATTCACTGTAGGTTCCTCTGGCAAAGAGCTCCCATCCTTCAGTACTTTCCAAAAGTCACCTCATTTACATAAGCCCAGTTGTGGTAGAGAAAGCTTTTCAGGAATAATAAGACTCCCATTTTGGGCGCCTGGGTGGCTCAGTTGGTTAAGCAACTGCCTTCGGCTCAGGTCATGATCCTGGAGTCCCGGGATCGAGTCCCACATCGGGCTCCCTGCTCAGCAGGGAGTCTGCTTCTCCCTCTGACCCTCCTCCCTCTCATGCTCTCTGTCTCTCATTCTCTCTCTCTCTCTCAAATAAATAAATAAAATCTTTAAAAAAAAAAAAACAAAACTCCCATTTCACCTGAAGCGATTCAGGAACTGAGGACAAGAGACCAAATACAACAAAGATGTTCCCGTGGCTCTTATGGCTCAAGAAATTCCAAGGGTTCTGGGAACTGGGAGCCAGGAACTATGGACAAAGAGCAAATATATATATTACTTGCTATAGACCACAACACAATGTGACCAGGAAGGCCGGAAATTCAAAAGAAAGTCATGCAACTTATCAATCATCTAATTCTAAAAACACTATCGTGTGAAAGAGGGATTCATCTTGTATTTGGCCCAGAGATTAAAGCCAGGGCTAATGGCTTAATAATCTAAGAAGGCATATGTCAACTAAATATATGGGAAAAAAACCTTCTGAACTAATGAAGTTACATAACTCTCAGGCAGTAAATTTAGGAGATGAGGAGTTCCATGTCACCAAACTTTTACAAAGTCTTAACAAAGGTAAGACTAGGAGCGTTCCAAAAGAGGCTCCAACACTGCATGCAGGCTGGGCTTGAATAGTTGACCCATGAATCTGTGAATGAGAAAATATCTGCCCCTCCCCAAAAGACAGTCTCACTCGCCAAGCTATTTGAGCCAAGTGCCTGACTCCCTAATATAGAAACAAGCCTGTCAAGCTGACCTGTCACCCATTTCTGCCATACAGGGTAACCTTTCCCCAACCCCTGAGAAGTTCACACTGTTCCATGCTGAGACCTGAGCTCCCTTATTTCCTGCCACAAGTCAGCCATGCTCTGAGTGCTCATTCTGTCCCAGATGCACCATTAACATGACACGGGTGGCCCTGACTGTTACGGAGTAATCTCGTCTTACCATTCTTTCTATTCTGGTTTTCCCTTTGCAGTGGAAGAACATGTCAGATATTAATACACGAAAAGGCTTTGTAAACTGTTACCATTTCATAAATGCACTCATTACAGATAAAGTCATCCTTATGTGGCTCCTGAAATAGTGATCTTATAGTTCCACAGCCATGGATAGAGACATGTTCGTCGAAGAGCATGATGATTAACCCCCTTGGAGTTTCCTAAGAGTCATAGCACCTATAGGCATTTTAACCTTATTTTCCTATATCCTACTATGCAAAAATATGTTAAAAAAAAAACAACAGGAAAAAAACCATACAGGTACTGTAGTAGTAATACTGAGCACAGCTCCAAAAGAGGCCCCAGAGTCCCACTGATAAGTATAGTCTGTGTGTTGGGGAAGGATGGGAGGTGAGGGCAGGATAGGTCGAAATTTTAGGCAGCTGGTGAAAGCTGGCTAAAACTCTAAAACTGCTGTCAAATGGGGAGAATAAGATGAGATGCTAACTAATCACCTGCAGATCCTGCACTGTATTTTCCGTTTTTAGAATTATTATTGGATGAAAATATGCAGATAACGTGTTGCTCTTTAAATATGTAACCTTTAAAAATAGTCCCTTTTCTACCTAAAAGAACATTCATTCTTTGGGTGTTGAGTTTGATAAGTTCTTTATAGATTTTGGATACTTGCCCTTTATCTGATATGTCATTTGCAAATATCTTCTCCCATTCTTTCAGTTGTCTTTGGTTTTGTTGACTGTTTCCTTTGCTGTGCAAAAGCTTTTTATCTTGATGAAGTCCTAATAGTTCATTTTTGCCCTTCCAAGCCTCAATTTTTAACTATTCAACTGTTAACTGAATGCTTACTATGGAACATACAATGTTCTGGACATTGGAAATAAATAAGCACAAAGGCCCTGAGGGAGAAATGTGCCTGCCATGTTCCAGGAATGCCAAAGAGGCCAAGATGACTGCAGTCATGAGGGTATGAAAGAAAAGTTGGGTCAGTCAGTAGCAGGAGATTTTTTTAATTTAACTCAGAGTGAGACAGTACACACCAGTGTTTTAGGTATCATTCAGTTTCAGTGTGTCCATTTACTATGCTGTATAAGAAATTACCACAAACTCAAAGCCTAAAAACAACACATTTACTATTTGTTTTCTGATTCTTAATGTGTATAAGAAAGCTTTTATCTCACAGTTTCCAAGTGTCAGGAGTCCAGGCACATCTTAACTGGGTCCCTCTGCTCAGGTCCTCGACTCACAAGGCCATAATCAAAGTATCAGCCAGCTAGCATTACAGAGGCCGAACTGGGGATAAACCTGCTTCCTCCGCTCATTTGGGTTGTTGGCAGAATTCATTTCCTTGCAGTCATAGGACCGAGGGTTCTGACTTTTTGATGAACATGGGCTGGAGGCCCCCCTAGTTCCCTACCTTGTGGTCCTCTCTGAGGCAGTTCCCAACACAGCTATCTGCCTCTTCCAGGCCAACGAGAACCTCTATCTCCAGTCTGCTCCCATGGAGTCTTCTATAACAAAACCATCATGGGGAAAACATCCCATCCCCTCAGATTCTACTGGTGAGAGTCAAGCCACAGGTCCCACAGGCATCCTAGGGCCTAGACCACTGGGCCACCTTAGCGCGTGTCCACCACATTCAGTATCAGTGCTTATGAGTCTACTTCATTCTTGTTAACGGGCTGCTGAACATTTCTCCTTATGACCATCCCATAATTTATTTAACCCACTTCCCTGCCACTGGAGGCTGTTTCTGATTTTTGTCTTTCATACAATTTTATTTTCTCCCTTCAACCATAATAATATGATACCCAAATTTTGTCTTCACCGGAGGGTCTATAAACACAGGCTTATCCAGCCTGTTTACAGGCAAGGCAAATATTGCTTCTTGAAATGGCCCCACCATGAAACCTCCAGTCACCCAACCCAAGTCGCCCCTTGTCTGGCTTTATCTTCACTGTACTGTGTGGTCACTTCACTGAATCTCATTCCAGACTTTAACTTTTCCATAGCTTCCATGATTTTCCTATGATTTTCACACAGAATGTGTCTGACCTTCACTGCACTGCCACCACCTTTGGGACCCGGAGCCTTCTTGTCAGAACTGTCACTCCCAGAAGCTGCTCCCCCCTTCCCCCCTTTCCCGGAACCACTTTTTCCCTTGGGTGGCATCTTCGGAACTTGTGGCAGAGCCCCCAGCCTGTTTCTGATGTTTGCACTGAGAGGTACGGTAGATTTGCAGTAGCAGTAAATATGTTCTACATTTTTTTTTAATTTTTTTTTTTTTAAGATTTTATTTATTTGCAAGAGAGACAATGAGAGACAGAGAGCATGAGAAGGAGGGTCAGAGGGAGAAGCAGACTCCCCGCCGAGCAGGGAGCCCGATGCAGGACTCCAGGATCATGACCTGAGCTGAAGGCAGTCGCTTAACCGACTGAGCCACCCAGGCGCCCCTATGTTCTACATTTTTGCAAAATCTTGACACTTATCCATAGAGTACTTTGTAACAGAGAGATGGCTTCAAAGCAGGAGCACATTCTAAGCCTTGCTGGATGCTGCAAACCATCACAGGAAGTCTATTCCAGCTCACACACACTCATTTCCTCCTCCCAGAGACTTCTCTTGGCTCTCAGTGGAGCTTTCCAGCTTTCTTCAAATAGGTGTTCTTCATCTCTTCATTTAGACTTACGCACTGGTGATTTATCTCTTCTTGATTTAGGCTTACATTCAGGCAATTCATCTTTTCGGAAAACACTGATAATAGGGCCTGCTCTCCCACTGTTATCTTCTGATGTCTTGCGATATATAAGGAAGCTATCGATTTTGGTAATTACTTTTAATCCTTCATCCCAGTGAATCATTTTAGTGTATGTAAGAACTCTTCAATCTGCTCTCTTCTCTGCTCTTCAATCACACAATCTATGTGTACAATCACACCCATAAATAATGCAAACTTTCCCCCTTCCACTTTCCAAACTACCTCGTATTGCTTTCTCGCTTTTCTTGTCTAATAATTCCAGGACAATTGTTAATTAGTAACAGTGAGCCAAGTCACAATTTCAACATTCTAAGCATTTCATTAAAGAGAATACTAAAGGATTAAAATACACATTTTAGATCATTTTAAGTAAGTATCCACAATTTCTGCTTTACTAAAATATTTCCCTAAGAATTATGTAGATTTTGTCACATGCTTTTAGGCATCTGCTGTAAGATTTCCTCCTTTGACTTAATAATATATTATATTAATGTATTTCCTAATATTGAGCCACCCTTGTATTTCAGGGATGAAGTCAACTTAGGTTGAAATATTATACAAAGTACTGCTATTATTTGCTGATGTATTATTTAAGGGCTCTGCAAATTATGCTTAAGTAAAATTGATCTACAACTTTATATCTGACAGGCTTCAGCATTGGTGCCCTACCAGCGTCATAAAAAGAATTTGAAACTCTCCTCTATTATGGTGTGGGCCAGTTAAAACATTAACAGATTAAACGGTTTCTTCCAAGTTTAAAATTTACCTGTGAAAAGATCTGTGCCTGGTGCTTGTTGGGGGGATGGCAGCTCTTTTAAAGTTTTCTGTTTATTATTTCACTGATTTTATCCTGATTTTCAAAATTCTGTGCACTGTGTATCTATGGTTATTTCCACATTTGTTTCTATTTATATATGTGAGCCTTCTCTCCCACCCGTTCTTCTTTTTTTTTTTTAAGGTTTTATTTATTTATTTGACAGAGAGAGAGACAGCGAGAGCAGGAACACAAGCAGGGGGAGTGGGAGAGGGAGAAGCAAGCTTCCCGCCGAGCAGGGAGCCCAATGTGGGACTCGATCCCAGGACCCTGGGATCATGACCTGAGCCGAAGGCAGACGCTTAACGACTGAGCCACTCAGGCGCTCCCCACCCGTTCTTCTTGACTAGCTTAGCCAAGAAAATGTTTTATTTTATGCTCCCCACTCCACCAAAAATGTAAGAGGTTTTACAAAAAAACCTTTTTCTTTCCTAATTAATAATTTCATCTTTTATATTTCTTAATTTCTTCAAATTTGGGGGGAGGTGGGTGGAAGTGTAACTTATTTCATTCTTTCTCGCTTTGTTATCCATTTCCCTCAGGACGTAATTTCTGCATGATTCTTCAGGTTTTGATATTCTTGTTTTCACAATATTTTTCTAGGTATTCTCCAACTTTTTTATTTCTATTTTAATCCATGAATCATGAAAGTTTTTAAATTTCCAGATGACCAGGGACTTTTTTTTTTTTTTTTTTTTTTTTGCTTCTAATTTCCAGATTTA